TGCCGGGCAGCTTCCTGCCAGCGTCCTCGTGGTTGACCATGCACAGGTGGGGCTTAGGGGTCAGGGTGCGGGTCTGGGAAGGTGAGGAGCGAGACCCCAAGGGTAAGATGGAGTGACATGCAGGTGCGCCAGGTTGCACAGGTAAATGTGGCAGGCAGGCGGGGACAGGCTGCTTTCCGCAGGTGCGCCCGGCACGGGCAGCCCAGGTCATGCCCCTGTCTTGCAGCACCACACACTGGAAGCAAGTGCTGTTCATGATGGATGAGCCGGTGGCAGTCCACGCAGGGGATGTGGTCACAGGCGCAGTCGTGCTGCAGAGAAACCCCGTCTGGAGGAGGCACATGTCCGTGGCCCTGAGCTGGTCCGTCACATCCACACAAGACCCCACCTCTCAGAAAGTAAGACGCGCAGCAGGAAAGTCGTGCTGCCGCACTGCTGGGAGTCAGGGTGTGGTGGTCACACTGGTCAGACCCTACGCCATGCATGTCTGCATCATTTTTAATATAGGAGAGAAAAAAACACAGCTTCCCTTTATTTTTTAATACCTGCTTTGTGATTTGTTCTGTGATAATTTTATGTTAAAAGTTTAAATGTCATTTAAAAAATTCTGCACCTGAATGCCTTCTCTTGTCCATATTAAATCCATACTGAAATATTAAAATATTATTAGGAAATACTGCACGTTAATCAAGAAACCAGGAAGAGGAAATGGCTATTTGATTGCTGTTTCTTTTTCAGGTTGGAGAAAAGGTCTTTCCAATCTGGAGATGACAGTGACATTCTGCTGGGGAAGCACAGTGTGCGGAGTGAGCTTTGCACCGCCTGCAGGTGGCAACCCCTGTGTGTGGGCTGGGAGCCCGACAGGCCCCCCACAGAGCATGGCGGAGCTCAGTGGAGCTCACGCTGTCGCTTCCTGTATCTGTCCTCTAGAAGTAGGCTGTGTTTTCAGGTGTCCCCCAGTGCTGTCCACAGTGTCCACCTGTGGAAGGAGGTGCCACAGTGCCCCTAAGCGAGATCTGGGCTGCACTGGCTGGACGCATACACCCACCTCGTGCTCCTGTGAAAATCTGTTGCATCATGTGTCAGTGGCGTCCCGCTGCCCCCGCTCACCCACTCGCTGTGCAGAATGTGGGGTTACACAGAGCCACGCAGGACCTGCAGGTGGCCATGCATGCGACAGGACCCTGCATGGGGTAGTACAGCTGTAGAGCGGTCTTCCAAATAAGTTACATGGTGGCACATAGTACATGCTCAATAAATATTTTTTAATAAGTGAATGGTGGTGTGTACCCTGTTTCTGTGCACATGCTCTGTGTTCCCAAGCGCAGGGCAAACTGCAGGGTTGCTTTGTGACCTTTCTCATCTAACATTCTGAAGAAGCTGCCTTGCCAGTATGTACACATCCATCTTTTCTGGTGTAATATTTTGATTTTTAGTTAACTTTTTATTGAAATGTAAAATATATACCCTCAGTTGCACAAGTCATGAGTATACAGATGGATACACACAGTGGATCTGCCTTTAACCAGCTCTCAAACCAAGATGTTTCACACACTAGAGCCCCCAGCGCCCCTTCCATCAGTGCTGCCCCACAAGGGCAGTGCCCAACTTCTAACACTGTAGATTACGTTTGCCTGGTT